GTAGGTAGGGGAAGGCTTGGGCAGTTCACTTTTAATAAATAAAAATTGTGTACAGGTTTACCTAAAATGTTGGGAGGTATGTTATAGTACCTTCTAGCTGTCAACAGCTATAAAGAGAACATATATACTGTATATTCGTTGTAATGAAATTCCTGGATATCATGCAGGTCATGACTGGGGATGGTTTGTTGATAGAGATGGAGCCAGAGCCCCCAAATAAACAGCTTTAGTTTCTGGTCCTTATAAAACTTCAATTTAAATCTGCTAAAGTGTCCAGAATGATTTTGGTGATATTAACAATGGATTGGTTGATCTTATGCTAAACTATTAAAGTGCTACTAAACCTAGGACCCTGCATTCACTATATCTGGTCTCCCACAGTACACAGAATTTGGAAGTGCAATTATTTTAGTAAATATAAATTGCTAAATACCTTTTCTCACCAGCAGTTGGAACAGTCTTGTGACTTCTATCAGTGTCCAGCAGAGCACTAGTTAAAGCTTGTAGGAGGAGTTTTCATTCTGTTCTAGGAGGATGCAGAACCCCTGACCTCTGTCTAGACAGTGCTGATTGGCCCTGTGCTGATCACATGCACTCTCTCAAGAAAAAAAAAACCTCTCTGGAAATAAACACCAAGCTGAGCATGTGCAGAGTGACTCCACACAATATGTCTTATCAGGAGATAAGACTATCACTAGGCCTTGATATTAGCAGCCAACAAATATCGGCTAATACAGAGATGGAGACAGAGCTACAAATACCAAACAAAAAAGAAATGGCAGAAATGTTCAAAGATCTAGAGAAAACAATAAAACAAGAAATTGTAAATATTCGAAATGATTTGGGACACCTTTTGGTGAGAGTGGAAGAAACGGAGGAAAAAGTCAAAAATCAGTCCCAAATTATTGCCGAATTGGAAAAAGAAATAATTAACATGGGGAAAGCCCAAGAAAAACTGCTTTATAAGGCTGAGATACAAGAAAATAGGAACAGGAGGAGAAATATATTAGGATACGTGGAGTCCCAGAGAATTCTAAAGGAGAAAATTTGCAAGAGATGGTCTGTAAAATATTAAATTCCATAATGGACAGCACTAGTATGGAAAAAACTAAAATAGAAGGAATCTCTAGACAAGGAAAATTCCAAGGAAATTCGGGAAAGGACAGGCCACGAGATATACTTGTCAAATTTTGTGAATTCTTAGATAAAGATAAAAATTTGGAAGAGGATAAAGGGAAAAGCAGTAATTATGTACGAAGGAAAGGACTTACAGATATATGCGGACTTGTCACCAGAGACTTTATGGAGAAGGAGAACCCTTAGACCTCTATTGGAAAGATTGAAAGAACAAAAGGTGCAATATAGATGGGGGACTCCTGAGTGCCTAATAGGATGGAGAAGTGGAAATACAGCATATCTTAGGTTCCCAGAAGATTTGAAAAATTTTTGCGACAGACTCTCAATCTACAAAGAATGGAGATTCCTGGCTGGGAAGAAGAACACTGGGAAATTAGAACGAAAAGAAAAGAGGACTGGCAATTGGTTGATGGGGGGGGGCGGGGGGGGGGGGGGAGAGGAGAGAGAGAGAAATAGTGTGTTTTTTTTTTTTTTTTTTTTGTCTCTCTCTCTCGCCCTCCTGTCTCCCTCCGCCTTGTCCCTGCCGCCCTCAAACCACTGTTATTGAGATATTTTGGTAGGACTTAGGGGTTAAAGGGGAGGGGGGGAAGGGTGGAAAGCTGTCCAGGGCTGGAGTTTTGCCCCTATAGATTAAATCAAAAGTGGATAGTATTACCACAAATGATCGGTAGGCAATCAATAGGCCTAAAAAGATGGGGAGGGGGAGGAAGGGGGGTGGGATGGGAAAATGGGTGGGAGGGGGGGGAGGGGATGGGAGTTGGGTGGGACGGGAGTTGGGAGGGAGGGTGGGGAGGAGGTATTGGGTTAATACTCTGCAGGACAGAAGGGACAAAGAGGAAGAGGCATCTGGAAGAGAGACGGAGTTAAGTGGGAAAGATGGAAGAAATACAGTTTATAACTTATAATGTGAATGGGCTGAGTTGTCCAGGGAAGAGGTTTAGGTTGTTTTAATGAGTTACATCATAGGGCGACGTCAGTGGTATTTTTACAGGAGACGCATTTTGAGATAGAGGCAAATGTGAAATTGAAATCTAAACACTACCCAATATGGTACTATGCAGATTCTCCAATTAAAAGAGCAAAAGGGGTTGCAATAGGTTTGGCAAAGAATATGAGATTTGAGCTGGAGGATAGAAGAACCGACCCGGAGGGGAGGTTTTTATTCTTAAAAGGTAGACTTCAGGGGATAGAGTGTACTTTAGCCAATATATACTGCCCTAATAAAAACCCGGAGATATATATGAAGGGCCTGTTGAAAAAATTAATGGAATTCAAAAAAAGGGCGCTTGATAGTAGCTGGAGACCTAAATTTCTGTATGGATCCACAAAGGGATAATACCTCTTCTGTGCAGAGAGAGGGGAGTAGGTCCCTGAGAGCTTTGAAGAAAGCGATGTATGAATGTCAACTAGTGGATACCTGGAGAATAACGCATATGAAAGACAGAGACTATACCTTCTTCTCTAATGCACATGAGATATACTCGAGATTAGATTACATCTTAATAGACCATCAACTTATAGATCACCTGGTTAAAATTGACATAGAGACAAGGACGTTCTCGGACCATGCTCCGGTCGTAATGAAAATGGGATGGGGAAGAAGGTGGACTGGAGGATTAGGGTGGAGGTTAAATGAGGTTCTTCTTCTAGATGAGGAGGTAGTTCAGAAAATCGAGGAAGAGATTAAGGTATACTTTAAGGAGAACGAAACAGAGGAAGTATCGATAGCCACAGTCTGGGAAAGCCATAAGGTATTCATAAGAGGAATCTTGATTGCGGCAGGAGCAAGGAAAAAAAAAGGAAAGAAGAGAGAGGGTCAGTGGGCTATTAAAAGAAATATTGGATTTAGAGCAGATACATAAAAAGAAAATAACAAATGATACGAGACAGAAGTTATTGGATAAAAAAGATGAACTAGAGAGGTTGATGGATGAGGAGAAGAGAAGAGTATACAACAGGGTTATGAACGAGAGATATAGATGGGGGGACAGACCAGGAAGATATCTAATGAGAGCTTTGAATAAAAAAAGAAAAATAGGAACTATATAGAAAAGATAAAAAGCTCAAAGGGGGAGTTGGTCCACTCAAATAAAGAGATTATTAAAGTGTTTACGGAGTATTATAAAAAGTTATATAATATTAGTCCCCAAGGCCCTCTAAAAGAAACTCAAGAGGGAATTAAGAAAAAAAAAAAGATGACATACTTAAAAAATGCGGGATTACCAAAACTAAGTGAAGCAAAGTTGAATTCCTTAGACGCAGAAATTTCCCAGGAAGAAATTAAAACAGCATTAAAAAGCACAGGGGGGGATAAAAAAAAAGCCCAGGCCCGGATGGTTATACAGTTAAGTACTATAAGAAATTTAGTGAAGTACTGTTACCCCAAGCTGGAGAAATATATGAATGCTCTGGGAGGTGGGATGGAAGTGAGGAGAGAATCCCTACAGGCCCATGTAGTGCTTATTCACAAGGAGGGAAAAGATCCATCTCAGTGCTCCAGCTATAGACCTATCTCATTATTGAACACTGACACTAAACTATATGCAAAGGTGTTAGCAAACAGGTTGAGGGACTTGATGCCTGAATGGATACATGGAGATCAGGTGGGCTTTGTACCGGGGGAGAGAAGGTAGAGATAACGGCTTGAGAACCCTCATGCTTATCCAGAAAAGTAGAAAAGGGAAAGCCCCGGTGGTGCTCTTGTCGATTGACGCAGAGAAGGCATTCGATAGAGTGGACTGGGGCTTTATGATGGACAACTTAAAGTCCTGGGGATAGGCGATAGAATGCGAGAGTGGATAAGTAAATTATATAGGGAGCCTACTGCAATCATCACGGTAAATGGGGAGAGATCAGAACCCATTGGAATGTCTAATGGTACAAGACAAGGTTGCCCACTATCCCCCCTGCTATATGTATTGTCACTCGAACCTTGTTGTCAATAATAAGAAATAGTGGATCGGTAAAGGGAATTCAGATAGAATCCATAGAGCATAGAGTAGCGGCCTTTGCGGACGACTTATTGTTCTATGTGGGGAACCCCCGAATAACTCTCCCAAATATAATGAAGATTCTGAAGGAGTACGGTGAACTATCAAATTTAAAAAAAGGAGATAAGAGGGGGCACTGGAAGAAGGAGAGGATCAGAAAAGTCAGGATAAAGCTGCATTTTTACTCAATGCAGAGAATTCACCCCTTAGGTTCCACAATGAGTATAACAAGCATGCTATACTGCATATACAGACTGATTTTACTGTTTTTAGTAATATTTATTTCAGGGCACTTATATAGCGCCGTCAATTTACACAGCACTTTACATATATATATTGTACATTCACATCAGTCCCTAATCCTGAAGGAGTGTACAATCTATGGTCCCTAACTAACATTCATACATACACATACTAGGGCCAATTTAGACAGGATCCAATTAACCTACCAACATGTCTTTGGAGTGTGGGAGGAAACCTGAGTACCCAGAGGAAACCCACACAGGCACAGGGAGAACATGCAAACTCCAAGCGGGTGGTGCCATGGCTGGGATTCGAACCAACAACCCTAGTGCTGCCAGGCAGAAGTGCTAACCATTTAGCCACTGTAATACTTTAAGGCCTACTCCAATGAGATAATACATATTTGTGGAATATTACTACTAGAGATGAGCGAATTATTCAAAAATTCGATTCGACTGATTCGGCGAATTCGTGAAAAAATTTCGATTCGAGTGGAATATATTCGCTGCGAATTTAACTTATAAAAGGGTGTTTCTAGGCTTCAGAGAGCCTTTATATTAGTGCAGAACACTGTACCTTTAATTTAAATGCCCTTGGAGTCTGCTGGGGAAGAGAAATAATACTGTCAGTCAGTATGACATGCAGATGAGTGCCGTCGATCTTAGAATCACCGCACACTTCACTCATTTGGGCAGTCACGGGGCCAAAACCAGAGTGTGGAGCCACAGTGTGGCGGTGGAGGCAGCAGCAATGGGAGGCCATACAGCACCCTATGACAAAAATGGAACCCACCAGCAGTGTGAGGAGACCTGAAAGTGGCACATGGCAGAGTGTGGCGATGGAGACAGCAGCAATGGGAGGCCGTACAGGGACCATGAGAGACTCTGGACCTGGCAGCAGCATGAGGAGGCGGTACAGGGGCCCATGACAGATTACGGGCCTGGCAGCAGCATGAGGAGTTGGTACGGGGGCCCATGGCAGATTACGGGCCTGGCAGCAGCAATGGGAGGCCGTACAGGGACCCATGACACACTCTGGACCTGGCAGCAGCATGAGGAGGCGGTACAGGGGCCCATGACAGATTACGGGCCTGGCAGCAGCATGAGGAGTCGGTACGGGGGTCCATGACACACTCTGGACCTGGCAGCAGCATGAGGAGGCGGTACAGGGGCGCATGACAGATTACGAGCCTGGCAGCAGCAACTTGGACAGGAGGACGTTCAGCTTCTGCACCGTCGGGTGCGTGCTCGCAAACTGTTGTCTCTTGGAAACGGATTCCAAGAAAGACTGCTGACGGAATCCGTGAAGAGGAGTAGCAGGAGAAGGAGCATCTGAAAGAGCAAAATATGCCAACAAGCGACAACAGGGGCCCATGACAGATTACGGGCCTGGCAGCAGCATGAGGAGTCGGTACGGGGGCCCATGGCAGATTTACGGGCCTGGCAGCAGCAATGGGAGGCCTGTAATCTGCCAGCACCCTATGACAAAAAAATGGAACACACCAGCAGTGTGTGAGGAGACCTGAAAGTGGCACCATGGCAGAGTGTGGCGATGGAGACAGCAGCAATGGGAGGCCGTACAGGGACCATGAGACACTTGGACCTGGCAGCAGCATGAAGAGGCGGTACAGGGGCCCATGGCAGATTACGAGCCTGGCAGCAGCTATGGGAGGCCCGTAATCTGCCAGCACCCTATGACAAAAAATGGAACACACCAGCAGTGTGAGGAGACCTGAAAGTGGCACATGTTTGGGGCATGATTCATGGCGGATTTAATCAGTTGTGTCAGGAACTGGTGGTTTGAAATCCAGACTAATCCACGCCTGATTCATTTTCACAAACGTGAGTCTCTCCACACTTTGGGTGGACAGTCGTGTCCTCCGCGGAGTTACAATACCTCCTGCCGCACTAAACACGTGCT